AAAGTACATTGAACGGCAAACACATCTTTTTAGTTCGACTATACATATTGTGCTGTTTACTGAATTCTCTATCAAATGTCAATATATCCACAAACAATAACATAAGTTTTTTGAACCTGAGTCTTTTGCGGCCACCCCATTCCATGCGAACACTAATTTTCGTACTAATGGCTTGACCTCAATAGACCGTTGCGATTTTTCTTTCAGTCTTGTTCCATGGACTCTGCGCGTACCTTTCGAGCTAAAAGTGCTACTCAAGTAGACAGATATTCTTTGTATCTTAAGCGTCATTGTCTGGCTTTTTATACTGGTATGAAACTGGTTTTGATTGCGATCAAAGACGCCAACGGAACCATAGGAAAGAAACGTTCCAGATTTATCTGGGTACAATATAGTTCAATGTTGGTTACGTGCATATGCTCGAGCTCTTAGCGTTTGATTCTAATCTTTGAAAATTTGTTTCTGCAATTATGCGTAGCGACGAAAGGCGTTATAGTTTATGCCGTTCATTTTTGTACAATTGATCTTATGATTGTTTCTCCATCGACCGATTTGCAGCCCCTAATATTTCCGGTGGTACTAAGTAATCACGTCATCGTAGATAACAACTCAAGGACTTACTTAATGCCATCAACTAGTTCATCAAAATCTTTGGTTTTTTGTTGGTTTTTCTGACTACCGAAATGTGTTGGTGGGTATGATGGACTTCGGCAATAATCGCACTTTTTACAGTTGCTTTCGAAATACGTCCTTTGATTTTTTGTTTACATAAACCAGATTGTTTTTAACTTTATATACTCGATATAGCTCTAGGTTTTTTTCCTTACATTTTAGGCTATATGTGTCCCACGGAATGAGCGTTGTGCCATCAAATGTATAAATTTGGAGAAATGCCAGACATCTGTAGACGAGCTTAGCCATGAGATTCAGGTAAGCCACTTTCTGCGCTATTACATTTTACTATTTGACTTGATAATGATTAACTCATTTGTTTTTTATCTTCCCATTTGTAAAATGATATCTCTATCGATTAATCCACGATCCAAAAACTAGAAGTATTGACATTTTTGGTGTTAGATCATGACAAAAACATCCGCCATTTTTTACCGATTATGTTATATTTGATACGGGTAAGGCACAGAGCGTGAAATGTCAAAAATGCATGACAGCATTTTGTCAGTGTAAAAATTTTAAATCATATTTATGTCTTTGCCAGGCGATGTCCTTGTGTGCCCACCCAAATGTTGTCAGTTATCACACGTCATTTGTGGTAGGAGAAGAATTATGGGTGGTGATGCGACTGTTAAACAGTGGATCTATGCTCGATATTTTGAAAAGAAAAATAAAGGTGGGAACTGTGAGTTCATTTTTCTGGAAAACTTGATATCATAATTTTGTAGGCGATTGGTAAGGAACAAGCCATGAATGGTGTGTTGGAAGAGGCAACGATTGCTACAGTATTACGCGAAGTATTGAAAGGTCTCGATTATTTTCATTCTAGTGGACAAATTCATCGGGATATCAAAGTAAGTTTGTTGCTCATTCTTTGTTTATATGGTATTGCTTTTTCTCTTACCATTTTTTTCTTTACCTTTCTTTTTCGCTTATGAAGGAGTGGTGAGCTCCGGTGTTCATTAGCTACTTATTTCTGTCATTCCAATGTTACCTTTATACCATATGCTTCCCCATCTTTTGGGTATCTTGGAATGGGTTTTAGGGGGAACCCTTAGATTGCGATATAGCTCTCCCTCCTTCAGCTTTTGAACAAAGATGTCGGAGAGGTGTATTGGTAGGTCTGGTAACATCTAAATGGTAACGTTAGATCTTGAGCTTCGCGACTCAGAGCACACGTCGTCAGGATTGGATGCGTTCTCTTTGAGCGTGTAGTAAAGGGCGCTGCATTGCCAAGCGCACTTTGAGCCAGTTTATCGTGCAATGCTTAGAACTGCGAAGAGAATCATCTGGTTCATGAGTCACATAAGCTACTTATATACGTTTCCGTTACGGTCGAATGCATGGGGTCATATACCAGGGCACTGAATCTCGCAGTCATGTCCCCTTTTACCTGATAGAGCATTAACTTGCGATTAAGTTCCGTTTTG